GCGATGTAGTCATCGGTGACCTATTTGGTTATAGGCAGCCAATCACATGCCGCCTAGCGATCATGCGCCTCTTGCATGCCGGCACCTCGCGTTTGGAATGCGTGATCTAGTTTCCAGATCTAGTGTTTTATCAATGGATGGGTGGTAATTTTAAGTTGGTACGGAAAATCTATTAAACGCAGAGGTCTGAAATTTTACAGCAATAAAGAAGACATATGGGGCGCTTGTGTGGTCGGCGATCAACCCGCAGCTCCGCTTAGTTCTCGAACCGCAGAGGAAATTCGCACAAACACGGCAATATCTCCGGTTCTAGTAATCGTTCGGGATTGTATGCTGGCATGTCGTTAGTTTAACCTTTCCTCTGGTTGGTTGCCGAGTTTCATCTATTTTCGTCCAGGAGTTTTCCCATAACTAAACTTAGAAGAAGAGAGTCACTTCTGATTCTGAGTGGCCCAAAAATTACCCCTCGCGCGGAGGCCGATTTCCGGCCCAAGGCGCAGCGGGCGATTGGCATTGCTAGATAACTTGCAAAGTCATTCGTCACTATTTATAACTTTGACCTGTAATTTACTACGTCATTTTCCATACAAGGAATACTGAAATTTTCTATTGAAAAAGGTCAGCGTCTATAGGCCTACCTTTATATATAGGGCCTGCGCGCTTCCTGATCGAAGTAGGTCAGCCCTATATATATAGGGCCTGTGCGCTTCTCGGGTAGTCCCAAAGATCGTGTAGACAATCTTTGGTAACCCGGCTCACGCTCTATATGTAGGGCCTGCATGCTTCAAGTTTGTCGACTTGAAGCATCCGGTTTGATAGTTTATGTGCTGCCTATAAAGCCTAGTTTATTATTATGTGAAGTGGAGGGCCGACACATAGCCCTGATGCTATGGGTACAGGAGGGCCGTACGCACAGCTACTTCAATTTAGATTTAGGATGACTCACGCGTGTGAAATATTCTCAACTCCATACACAGCGCCATTTAACAAATTATATTTGGTGGTAGATCTAGCATCATGTACACTGAGGACTTGCTATTCCGATTCCAAACTGTTGCAGCATCAGCAAGGGAAAGTCATTCTCCATTCCAAAGTTTTGACCAAACTTTCATTCACTTCAGTAAAAGTTACTTCACTCTTGTCTTGTGACAACATCAACAGTTGAAAACAATGCATAGATCTAGATTCTAGATCTAGGCCAACAGTATATATTTCTATGCCGAAAGAGTATAAAAAAATTCTGACAAAAGCAAACTGATACTGCTAAAATATATAACTGTGACCTCCCCATGTCCTCTGAGTGATGTATGACATGGGTCATGAGTATAAGTGATGAATGATGAAAGATTGTTGAGGATCCTCTGGAAAGACTAGCCAAAGCCATTCTTTAATTAAAGAATTTTAGGGGCTTGGAATGGAATATGAATGTGACATCATGTCAATAAAAAATCAATATCAAAGTATCTAGATTTTCTAAATGAAATTGGCATCATCATGCGATGTCACCCACTCAGCAAGCACACGGCCGATTTTGCTCTGGCTCTGGCTGGCTCTTCGAAGTTCCTACTCTCCCCTGACAGACCACTGAACTAGATCTACAGCACTCAAAACTAATGACAAATCCTTATATAGATTTAGAGATGCAAAAATGTACAACGCAACAGTTAATGTTTACCGATTTCTTAGGAATAGGTAAAGATCTGGTAAAATAAAGCGTCGACTGCTAGATTTCTAGATTCTAGCAAGTACCACACGCAATTTATAGGCAGGCCCAAAAGGCCAAGAAAAGGATGAATGCGAACACAACTGCCAGGTCCACTTCGAGTAAATCTTATGATTGCACCCTTGATTGCCTGCTAGGAAAAAATCACACATTAAAAACATGATACATGCATTTCTACCTTAAATGTTTCGAGGAATAAGCACTAATAAAAGAACACAAATGAAGAACTCTACCGGCACTTACAGTGCGTGTTTCTTGACTGAACAAGGTCACCGATGGAAAATGTCGGAAGGGAACGAACGAGATTGGGACACACAGAGTACGAGATTTACACATTTTTCCTTTCCACTTTAATGTAAATTAATTACTGCCTTATTCATTAATTAAATAAAATTTTACTACTTTTTACTTATAACAAGTAAAAAAATAAGGCTTAAACCCAAACTCTCTTATTTTCATGTTGGCCCAAGACCCCCTACTTTCGCTTTCACTTGGAAGTTGCACTCTCAAAAGTTGGAATTTGGAATGGAAGTAATTGCCAATTAGGATGTGTATTTGAATCGCAAAAAGAGCCATCCTGTAGGCCTATTCACTCCTTGGAAATTGTAGTCTGCAATTCTTTTAACATATATATTTTTTCTCGTTTCTCTTGTAAGGTGTTCCACTTAAAATACAAACCAATACTTTAAGAAAAATCAGTCTAAACTCTAAACCTCCCATGTTATGTCCTATTAACCTGACATGAGGCCGCTCAAATTTCACTCTTTTATACTCAGTCGCAGTCACCAGTCTTCAGTCACTAGATGCTCACTGTCCACTACTTCACTGTCCACCCACAAATTGTAAATTGTCTCTTCGTCTTCTGTTTGTCAGTGTGGCGACGGCTTGGCTGGCTACATCAACAACAAATTAGAGATCTGCTTTGGGCCTGTGAGTGTATTGTCAAATTTGGTGTATTGATTGTATAGAGGCTATCTAAATCTAGATGATCTAGATATAGATCTAGATCTAATCTAGATCTACATTTCTGTTTAAAGTAAAGTTAGATTCTAGTCTGCATGCAAGTTGACTTAGTACTAGAATCTAGATCTAGATTCTGGGGAGGACTTCCGTAACGAGCGACCACTATGAGACAGAGCAGAATTGAGGGCTTGGGGTAGGGATAGGGGTAAGGTTAGGGGTAGGGGTAGGGGTAGGTCTACTAGGCCTCTTCTTTATTGTGTTTGATGGGGTGGTCGCTCGTTACGGAAGTCCTTCCGATCTAGATATAGATTCTAGATCTAGATCTCTAGATCTACTTTTATCTGACTTGGGTATCAGTCAGACTTACAATTTTTTTGTTGTGTCTGTGTAGTGTAAATCTAGATCTAGTCTGTAGTGAAGTGAAGTGTTCCGGGGCAATTCATAATAATAAGAAAGAGGCTAGCCGTACTTAATGACGGCTAGACTGGCAGTCTGGCTAGACTCACAGTCTAGCCGTACTTATTCTTGTCTTAAGAAATATGATGGCTAGACTGACCATTTACAAAAAATAGGCCTACTGAATTGTAATATACATTTTTAGTGTGCAGTACCTAAAGTATTTGTATTTGAGACGAAACCAGGTGCCTTTATGACAGTGCATGTATTTTAAACCTCCTGTTTTCTAATGTTAATAATAGGGCCTAAGATAAGTACGGCTAGACTGGCAGGCTAGCCGTACTTAATATTGATGGCTGAATTGTAAATGAAATTTTTAGTTTGCAATGCCTAAAGTATAAATTTGTATTTCAGACAAAACCAAAAGGTGCCTTACTGACTTGCATGCATTTAAATCTGAATAATTACTAGAGTACTGTTTGGCCATCTCGGCCCCCTAAGAAATATTGTTTTTATTTCAACACTGTCAGAGCCTCAATTGTTGTTGACACACGGGAAACCACTTAAAAGAAGCAGAAAAGTATCCTCTACATGATGGTGGTAGTGGAATGAACTATCGTTTATTATTTTGTGGGTCACTCGGCAAAATTTCATTTCGCATTTTTGGCTCATTTTCGGCCGGGTCCGGACGGGTCGGCCAGATGGGTCCGGGAATGTCGGCCACCTAGAATTATGCTCTATAACACCCATGTTTATCTATCTAGTGAGAATTAAAATGTTTATCTATCTAGTGAGAATTAAAACCTTTAAGACTATTTTTACATTAAAAAGGGATAAATAATCATCATGATGTTCATTGTCATAGTTTTGTTACAAAGAGCAGAGACATTTTGAGAAGAAAAAAGAAGATAAAAAGACTCCACACCTGATAGAGACACAGAGAGAGAAGAGACAGAAATGCAGTCTGTAGCAGACACTTAGACCTAGATTCTAGATCTAGATCTAGTAGATATACAGACAGACAAGTGGACAAACAGAGTGACTGACATATTATATATAATATAGATCTATATATGATGAATTTTCTTTTCACTCTCTTTCAATGAATGAAACAACGACACTTACAGTTACTGGTATGTCCACACTTCTGTCCTGTATAAAAAGTGATCAAAAGACAATTTTGTCTGAGGGAGCTATGCATTTTAAAGTTGATAAAACATTGATGTCCATATTCTATCATTCTACCCTAGAAAGTAAGATTAATTTTTGTATAACAGCATGGGCCGGGAACACAAGACAACAAGATAAAGAAAAATTAAACTGATTAATACGAAAAGCATGGAAAATTTCGGGAGGAATTCCATAACGAGCGACCACCAAGCACGGCGTCACTTTTCGCCCGATTCTGTTACTTTTAGTTCGCGTGACTCAGCAGCCCGCCGGAGCTCCCCGGCTTGGGGTCACTGGGTTAATGAGCCCTGAGGTGACTTTGCCGCTGTCGGTCGGGAAGTTCGCATTTTTGACTATGTTTAAAACGATATAACTTCTTCCCCATCCCACACAGCAAACCATTATGCGAATGTACTAAAAGCTCAATGTCTTGAGATTTATTCTGCGTTAGAATGGTTAGTTTCTGTGCCTTAGTTTTTGTTCTAGACAAGTGTTTATAGAGTACCCAATTTGTCCTATTTTAGTTACAAAGTTATGAATAAATGATTGTTATTTTAAAAAGGCACGACAGATCTCTCCAAATTCTGTGTTAAACTGACTACGAATATCATGTCTTTTACCGTGAGAAATCTTAAATCTGCGGTAGTAGTAATAGTCAAGTTATAAGAGAAGAAAGATGCACATCTGCATATTTTAACTAAAGACGATCAGCGTTAGCTCTTATTTTACTATTAAACAAGAGAAAGTTACTCTGCGTTTGTTCATGAATCATGCTGTGTCTGTGGCAGCCTGCATACAACTAAAAAGATATAATATAAGCGATTAAAAAAACCACAAAACCGTGTAAATACATGGGTAGAAATAAACTTCTAGTATGGAATAAAAATAACGACAGCTAAAACATTCATTCTTAGTTTTTGTGTAGGAAATATGCGCGGACACAATTATGAATGTAAAGAAATCAGTCACATTGTCAGTTATTGCAAATGGTCATAGAAACGTAAAAAAAGCTGGAAAAGTCTGGTGCTGATTCAGTGTCCCTGGAAAGCTAGAAATTATTCTTATAACCCAATTACGAGAAGTCATCCCTATTAATTATTCAGTCAACTTACAAAACCTAGACTTAGCGTTTTAAGAAAAGTAAGCAATTTCTGGAGTGTAACAGATACTGTTCGTGTATTAGATCTACGTTGAAGATATATTCTAGCACTAAAATCGATTTGTACTTTTCATTGAGAAACTTCATGATAACTTTTATAAACTTTCGAGAAAATATGCGAATATTCATGATTATATTAAGACACATAAAGTTGTATTTGGAGGAATTACTTCGTAGCGAATTGTGTGCCCGATGGATAAAATTGCAAAATTACAGCCTTCTATTATAAGCGCAGATACCATCTTTTCTGAGTATCTGCACTAATGTTATGTCGTTCATATTCCAAAAGTTCGACAGATTTTGACGATGCGTTTTTTTTATATTGATTTTTTTTCATTCACGCTAGTCCCAAAAAAATTACAATTTAGCATTGCCGACTCCAGCGCGTCTAACGAAATAACCAGACAAGTTACAACGTCCGTTTTTTTTGAGTCTCAAGAGCAGAAATGCGTGCTTTGGGTGCACTAAATGAGAATTACCATAAATGCAAGGATGCACCTTAAATTGTACGTTGAAAAGTATCAAAAATTAAGTCGGCCCAGACAGAGTGGCGACAGGGAGCTGACCCCCGTGACCCCGATGTGATAAGGCGCCCGGCGGGGAACCCCCCGCGGCAACTAAAATTCCACTGCCGGTGCGCCGTGCAAGGAACAGAGTAGATATAGAGGGTGAGGGATAGGATTAGGGTTTGGGATAAATGGTTAGGGTTAGGTCTCTTCTTTGTTGAGCTTGTTAATGTTGGGGTGGTCGCTCGTTATGGAAGTACTTCCAAAATTTCAAGATCTACATTCCCCTACTTCGATGAATTGTACCTTACAGCTTGCACTGAAATTTTTTTTAAAATTCCATCCCTCAAATTAAAACACAAGTTAGAAGTGTAAAAGACCTAGATCTAGGCTTCTGACCTGTAACAAAGAAAGATACTGCAGGTCATTTTTACCATCATCCATCAAAATTCTTCCATCTTAACCATCTTGTTTCGAGTATTCATAAGACCTTTAGAGCATGCATCAGAATAACATTGAGTTACCGTCAGAATACTGAGTCTAGCTTAAGATTAATATTGTTGTATTACTGTTCATTTATATTGTGCATGTGGCTGTAAACATCACTTCAGACTCATCACTCAAATGCATGTATTTGCTTCACCCCCACTGCTACTAATTACCTAAAACCTCAAACGTTTTTGCAGCCTTCCCCTTTCCTTTACCCCTCTTTTTTCTTATTTCATCCTTTTTTTCCTGCTCTCCTCAGTCTTTCTCTGCTTTTCTTTTCTGCATGTTTTCTTTTCTTCTCTTCTTCATTGGTTGCTTTCTTTTAGATTCCTACTTCCTCTCCTCACTCTGTTTTGCTTCTTCCATTTCTTTAAAATAATATGTCATTGTTTCTTCACTGGTTCAAGCCACATACAGTTGGGGTAACCAGTCATTTCGTCAAACGGATCTCGTCCCACCCCAATTATGTGTGACAAAATGACTTCGCTTATAAATATATATCTCTAAAATTGTTATGCTAGTAGAGTTTTGGAGGATCAGCCTAAAGCTTTTTTCGAAGTACATAAATTGTTATTAATGTAAATTAAATCTTCGTCCAAACTGTTCCATAGTTGAACAATAGTTTTCATTAAATAAGGCAAAAACAATGTCTGGTAAAGAGTTAGTAAGGCTTTGTTTCAAAGTAAGGGTCTAGCTTTTAGCAAAATTGCAGTACCGTACATTTCTATTAACTAATTTATTTTTTAACAGAACTAATATTATGATCTTGCCAATCACACCTTTCATCAATTATAGGCCTATTTGATCTGAATTGACAGATTTCAATATTGTCCGTAGAACGGTGTAGCTGATCAGGTAGGCACGACAACTCGCACTGCCCTCCCCCCGGTCCTTCCACACACAGCCCCCCAACCCTCCCCTGAAAATTGTGATTTGCGATTTCCATGACTATGGGCGTTTGGGAGGTAAAGAGTTCCATCAAGAAGGACAAGAATACCTACCTGAATGACCTGGCCAAAAAGGTAGAGAAAGCAGCAACAGACGGACACTTGCAGATTGTACACCAGACAACAAAAACTCTGTCAGGAAGGTTTAGCAAGCCTACTCAACCAGTGAAAGACAGGAGAGAAGGACTATCTTTTACCCAAAGCGGCAACTTAACCGAGGGAGAGAACACTGTGATCAACTCTTGAAAAGACCACCTCCAGAAAACCAACCAGAAATTCTTCCAGCCAGAAAAGACCCCACAATAGTTATGGAATCACCTTCGAGAGAGGAAAATACGGCAGCTATAACATCAAGGCAGATGGTCCCGACCACACACCACCGGAGGCCCTTAAGGCAGCTAGATACATTATAGGGGAAATTCTCTGTGCTCTATTTGAAAAGGTTTGGCAAAAGGAGGAAAAAGAGGGGTAAAGGAAAGGGGAAGGCTGCAAAACTGACTTCAAAACTGCTTGTAGGTACCGCAAACTGGCCGTGCGCCCCCGTGGCGCACTGTCAAGGAGACCAAAAGGAGGAAATACCATCAGACTGGAAGGAAGGTCACCTAATCAAGCTGTAAATGAAAGGAGACCTCAGCAACTGTAACAACTACAGAGGCATATAGTAGAAATAGGACTAAGAAAGTGGCGATGGATGGGACACACCTATTAAGAAAGCCCAACGGAAACATCACAAAACAGTCACTGCAGTGGAACCCACAGGGAGCACGAGGCAGGGGTAGGCCACGTGAACGAGGAGGAGATGCATGTGGAAAGGGACAAGAGATGAAGCTCACTTGGAACGAGCTTGGAAGGATGGCCCGGGACAGAGATGAATGGAAGGAGCTTGTGTGGTCTATGGGTACCCTGCCAGGGGTGAAAGGCATTGATGATGATTCATTAATCTCAGTCTCACCCCAATCACCTTCAAAACCACTCATTCAAATTATGAAATCCATTTTACACCCTTCTGTCAAGTAAAAAAAACAGATTTGCATGATTTATGCATCATCTTTCATTCTGCCATTCAGCAAGGACTGGGAAGTAGCCTTTTTTTTTTTGCATCGAATTCAATTTCTAGAGCTAGAATCTAGAGATTTTTGAATGTCTGACTATAAATAATATTCAGATACTTCAGCTGTGGTCGGGGCAACGTTCCTGGACTATACTTCATTTGAAAATGCCTTCAAAAGGTACTGCAAGAAAACAGGACAGCTCGACCTTGGCAGTAACCTATTTTGCATTTAGTCAACCCTAAAGCAAAAGCTAAAATCCTTCATGTATGTAGCCTAAATCCAAAAAAAATCCGTCCACGCCCCGCCCCCACACGCCTCGTTCACACCTTATTCACGCACGCATGCAAACACACACACGCACGCAACGCACTTTCACACACACACACACACACACACACACACACACACACACACACACAGACACACGCGCGCGCGCGGGCACGGGTCACTCCATTCGTAAATTATCAACAGTTTATTAATCTCGAGAACGGAAACCGTTCGGAGAAACAGAGTTCAAGTTTATTTTCCCGAACGTTGGAAAAATAGAACCAGCGCCTTAATAAAATTGTAACCTTACCTTGGTGCAAGCAACACAATCCATGAATATCACCAAATTTTTTAATAATAATCCATTTAATCGAATTCACTGGCCACAAAAATAATTAATGCAACAAATGAAATAATAAAAATAAACAATAGGCATAAACAATTAAAAAATGGGTAGGCTAAGCTTGAAAATATATTTTAAAAACATATTGTGCACTAGGCCGATATGCGCGAACTGAGTCTACAAAGCTCGGCCAGCCCCGGCCGAACAACCCGGACACTTAACATTTTTAGTCCGGTTGACTCGACCACCCCACCACATCCCTCTTCGTGCAAGAAGGGCTTCCCCTCGTTCCCGGAATAGACAAAAGACTTCTTTGCCTTCCGTCCCAGGTCATATGACGTAGTAATATATAGCATCTGCGCATGTCTATGACCTTATGAGTATGCATAGTTCAAGCAGAGAGTATTTAATTATATTTTAGTGTCTCTGGTTCAAGTTATGGAGACGATGAAAAAATGGTGGACCTACTTTCGATTTACCTGGCTCTGTCGCAAAAAGGAACAAACATTCAGTGAAAACAGGTGAAAGGGAAACAAAACGTGCGAGATTGTTAGCATTACTTAACAAAGATTACATTGGTTTATAAATTAACAAAATATCCGACTAAGATTGGCTTTAAAACGAGTTGGAACAACACTCCCCTAGGCGGGCGGCCGACTTGTCCAGACGGCCGAGATGGCCAGTACTTACAGGCTTCAGTCGATTGGGCCAAACCTAGATCTAAGTACGGCTAGACTGGCAGTCTAGCCGTAAGCCGGCTAGACTCTCAGTCTAGCCGTACTTAAGTACGGCTAGCCACTTTGTAATAATAATTCTTGAACGATAAAGACCACTCAGCGAGTTTGAGTAAGTAATGACTGATGTGTTTGTCAACAGTTAATTTAGCAGAGACAAAGAGAAGATTTCATCAAACAGTCATGCACTGAAGGCTGGAGGCTATTCGGACTCAAATTACAGTGCGCGTGCGCTATCACCGGTTAAACTGTACTGTAAGCGAGATACTCGAGTCCGAATAGTCTCCCGTTGCTATTCGGACTTTAAACTACTGGAAAGTTTTACACTGCGTTTCACGACTACAAAGGGATCAAAACATAAAAATTCGTAAGTCCTTATAAGACAGCCCCCTCCTCCCCTTTCTCGGGGGGTAAATCCTCCGGCGTCTTTATGGCAGTTTTCATGCAGTTTATTGTCTTTGCGCTAACCGTGTTTCAATTTCAAGCATCAGAGTTCTTACTGTTTTGAGCATCAACGATCTAAGCGATCTTCCATCTTGTCCAGATACTAGAATCTAGATCTAGGAATTCCAAAATGTGCTTACATGCGGTATCTCCACGGCCTTCTTAAAATAATCTGTGGGTATCCCAGGAAGTTCTGACATCACATTACTGTACTAAAATTAGCAGCCAATCAGGAAGATGCGCCGTTCTACGTTTGATCGCATGTAGGCCGCCACCACCTGCACCCTTTTTTTTTGCCTTCCCTCCCATACCGTTGCCCACTGCCTGGCTCTACTATGATATTTCTGTTATGTAACCCAAAGAAAAGCCATATCCCCGTAGACATTGATCATATTTGTACTGAAAATGAAACACTGTATTTTACTAACAAAGCAAAAAATCTGGGAGTGTATTTTGATTCAAAATTGTCAATGGAACATCATATCAATTATTTATGTACCATTTTATTTTGTGAATTGCGTAGAATTGGTCATATGTCTATGTTTTTGAACGAACACTCGTTGAAAACGCTCGTGTCATCTTTCTTGTTTTCACGCATCGATTATTGCAATGCTTTACTAGCTAACTTACCAAATACCTCTCTTCACAAGTTACAACGTTTTCAAAATCATGCTGCTAGGCTTGTGCTAAAGAAAAAGAAGAGGGACCACATTACTCCCATGTTAAGAACGTTGCATTGGCTTCCCGTGTCAGCTAGAATGTCATATAAAATTGCAATATTATGTCATAAATGTGTCAATAACAAAGCTCCCTCATATCTTAGTGATCTCATCCAGATTCATGTTCCATCTAGATCACTAAGATCAGGCGACCAGTATCTTTTACGAGTTCCTAGAAAAGGCGGTAAAAAATTAGCCGAAAGATCGTTCGCCCACCTTGCTCCGTCAGTTTGGAACTCTCTTCCCCAACCCTTGAGACATACAACATCTGAGTCTAAATTTTAAAAATCTTTAAAGACACATTTAATGACATCCTTTTTAAGTCAGTAGATTCATGTTCAGTACAATGTTATGTAAATGTCTATGTATCCATTTATGTATTTTGTGAATTGCAGTGTATATATTATTTTATTCTCATTTCGTGACGATGTGTAATCGTGTGCGTGTGATAAGCAAGTAGATGTGTGTGTGTGTGTGTGTGTGTGTGTGTACGTGTGTGTGTGTGTGTGTGTGTGTGTGTGTGTGTGTGTGTGTGTGTGTGTGAGTGTGATTGTGTGTGTTTGGCATACATGTGTGCGTGTTATGTATTCGTGAGTGTGTATGCGTGTGTTTGTGTGTGTGTATATGTATATGTGTGTGTATATGAGTGTGTATATGAGTGTGTGTGTGTGTGTGAGTGTGTGTGTGTGTCGCGTGCATGAATATTTTTCTTACATGCATTTATGTAAAGCGCCTAGAGCTGTGTTTACACGGGAGTGGGCGCTATAGAAATGATCTTCATTATTATTATTATTATTATTTTTATCATTTGTAAAGAAAAGACCACAGTTCGCACTGGGTCACCACGTTCAGCGTCCATTTGTTGTAAGTTCCTTGGTCAGATCGTAGAAACTGAGGAAGGCCAAGGTCGAATTGCTTGTCTGCTTCACATCCGGTACACCTAGTGATTGCGCACGCGCATTGGAGTTTGTCCGAATAGCCGCCGTCGTCCTCTGGCCTTTTAAAATGGTGTTATTTTACTTTCACTCACTTTTTCTCTTATCATGTGTTCATGATTAGAGAGAGAGTAGTTCTAGGATAAAGTCTAGATCTAAATTCTAGATGAAGATTCTAGAAATATCTAGGCCTATATAGCCCTATTCTTTTTGTGTTTATAATCTGTTTTTAAACATGAACATTGACTTTACATCTGTAGAAAATTGATTGTTCAATATAATATTTGATTTTTTATTAGAACTGTAGGCCTATTACCGCTTGGTAAGAACACCCAATCGGGCCCAATCGGCACTGTCTTTCAGGCACCTACAGAAGCTTCTTCCGATTTTCAGCTTGGCGGGCTCATTATCGTGACCGGTCAGCAGTGAACTTGCGCGCGTTCGCGTTGCATCATACGGCATCGTGTGAGTACCAGCAGTTAAGTTGTTAGGGTCGTCAAAGTTCATTAAAAGTCTAAGCGTTTGGAAGTATAGGACTGGGGGGAGAGAAGAGTATTGATATTTTAATAAGATTCTCTTGGATTCATTTTGATAATAGTTTATTTAAAATGATGAGGGGAGAAATATAAAAATAGCTACAAAATTTAAAGTAAATACAGACTGAAATACCTAAGTCACACAAGGCTCTAGTGCCACACAGACATTTTGTTTACATGTACTGGATATACAGTAGTCTCCGCCTACGATCCCGGTTCGCTTAAGATCCCGCTGTTTTAAGATAACAGAATTTTTACTAAAAGTCAGCCCTAAGATCCCGCTCTGATGCACTCTGAAGGTCAATATTCGGCTAAGATCTCGCATTTCAGATCATAATTTGCAGGCACAGCCGATCAACCAAGAGTGAAAAGTTGAGATCAATAAACTGTCCGTCGCGTCAAAGATCAGCCACTATCATGAATACGTTGTAAAACTCGATGAAGCGATACAACATTTGCCCCAGACGGGATCACACCAGAGTGTGAACTGACCGACACGTTTGTTTTCCCCACGCATCGCACTCACACCTGTGCTCTCCCCCAAACTTACATCACTCGCCGGGTGGGTAGGGTCTATAGATACGTTCGCTCCAGGCGGGATCACATCGAACCGTGAACTCTTTCCTGACCATAGCAGAAGTTGTCTCTACTCCCGAATTTGCGAGACAGACTGAATTTTAATTGGTGTGTTCACAACGTAATGGTGTGCAACGACAAAGGCGGTGGAGGGGGGGAGGACGACTCGGTAAGAGACTCAGAGATGGAAAGCTATAAATTTTCTGCAGGTAAAGGGGACGGGCAACTGGATAAGCGTAGATCTTGAAACTCATGATAGGATAATAAGTGAGGTCTTAGCGGGTCGCTATGGATTCTTCCCTGGGTTCGTCGGTTAAATTCCCACTTCGCCTAAGATCCCGCATTTCCTTGCTCCCCAGCACCGAGATCTTAGGCGGAGACTACTGTATTAATATAATGTAGGCTACACACTTGTGTGTGTGTATGTGTACGCGCGCGTGTTACTCTCTTGTAACACGTCTAATGCAAGAGTTTGTGCTGTCATTGTTATGTAACATGCCCCTGGAAAATTGAGAAGCCGGTCTGGCAGTCACCCTATCTTCATTTTGTAGGCTACTTGGAAGTGAAAATGAAGCAATCGTGTGATAGTCCTAACGAGAATGAGGAGAAAAAGAAGAAGCGTTTCGTTGTGTATTCCTACTTTGCTTTTTTCTACAGCTTATTATAATGACCCACTGTTGTATTATTCTGCGTGGGGTGCAATGGTTTGTTTGCCGCTATGAAAAACATTGTCCCTGAGAGGTAGGTCAATGTCCCTGAAAATGCTTGACTAGGTCCCTGAGACCCAAATCGACAGGTAGGCAGGTCTGCATCATGGATCAAACTGGACCCACAAACCAACTTTAGCAACCTTACTTTTTCAACACATGACTGACATACAAGGAGTGGGGCCCTGATTGGGTCCGATTGGGTGTTCTTACTGACCCGCCTATTACTATTACACTTGACTAAAAGGGGCTCTCCCTCATGGTCTAGAGGTTACGGTGTTTGCCTCTCATTCAGTAGTTCGAAACTTGACTGCATAGGAAAATTTTCTTCTCTAAAATTATCTTCTTTCACTTTTATCGCCTTTCCTGCTCTCTAACCATGTTCTCTGGTCTGCTTTTGTCTCCCTTTTCTATCCCCCCCCCTTCACATCCTTTGTTCACATCCTTTGCCCCCTCCTCTGGTCCTCTGGCCTCCCGACTCTTTCTGAAGCCTTAAACTGTACTCGCTTAAGTCTCTTCCTAACTGCTGTCTTTCAGCCACACCCCTGATTTTATGGTAAGTAAGATCCAACACCTCTAGCCTTCTTGGATAAGGCCAAAAAATCTTGGAGGTTCCATGTGCAAGTTGCATGTTAAAGATCCCTTGGTGGTCCTAAAATTGATAAGAGTAGGCTTTGGCTGCCACTGGGGCAAAAGTCAAAAAATTACTATCAAACTAAAAATGTTTCATGTGTCCGGTATGTTCCTTATGCATTTGCGAGTGCTGTTAAACTCTTACTAAAACAAACAAACAATATTGCACTTTTAGTCAAATTAGGCCTATGGAGTGAAGGCTCTCGTGGTTGGTCTGGAGGTTATGGCGTTCACCTCTCATTCAATAGCTCCTGGGTTTGAAACTTGACAGTGGTGGATAATTTTCTTCTCTTAAATGTTCTTCTTTCACCTCCTTTCCTGCTAGCTCTCTTACCATATTTTGTTGTTTGTTTTCATCTCCACTCTGCCCCCCTTCCCCCTGACCCGGAGATCTCATGTGCAAACTGCGCCCATTAAAGATCCATTGGTGGTCCAAAATCAATAAGAGCTGGCTTCGGCCACAACCCGGACGAAATTCAAAATTAATTCCTACCAAACTGAATAATGCTTAAAGTGTCCCTCACCCTCACACAAGATGCAGTTGCGAGTGCCGTAAAACACCTTACCAAAAAAACATGGTGACCCTCGTAGAGGTATAGTCAAAGGTACAGATACATAGTCGTCTGATGTAGAAGGAAAAAGTTTCCCAGACATTTTCAATTGAAAAAACACATTTTTTTTGTTTATGTGGTGTAAGGAGTTAAATGTGTTTCTTTGATGGCTACAGTTTATTGAAATTCTAAGACAGGATATGATAAAAATAAAAATAGCATTTGCATTGCACAAATTTCCACTCAGTAGCAAGCTCTATGCGCTTTGAAATCTATTATTACCCTAGCAGACCTGAACCTGATGGCATTCTGAAACAATTTCAACCTGGGAGTGCAAGCAGCCATTTTACAGGTGTGTTAAAAATGCTCAAACTTACTAGATCCTTTACCATTAATGGCCACCTACTTTCAACTGGGTGAAGTGAGAAAAATTCGTAGAAAGTCCTTTCCCAAGGCCACAACGTTGGGCCTGACCTACAAATCTGCACTGTATTATGTATAGCTCTGTAACTAACTTTATTCAGTAGCCATTTTCACTTACTTTTTACTTTACAGGTTATAATGCCTTATCTGCAAACCGATATATGATAATAATGTACTTCAAGTTTTTCTCAAATTCAAATTAAAATCATAATAATTGCCAAACAAAATACAGCTTACATCTTTTCTGTTGCATATCACCAATCAGTTCTTAAGTAACTTAGAGAATGCTCTGAACTAAATATATACCGATCAATTTAAAAATAAGTTTTGAAAGTAAGCTCTGGAAACGAAGTTTGTTTATTAAGAATACCCATTTACAAAAGTATATTTTGGAAAAGCTAATGTCTAAGTTGATTGAATTATTTGTTAAACTTTTCATGTCGATGCTCTTATTGTGTTGCAGTATTTTAAAAAAATATTTCTGTGGACTAACTGCAATAAAAATCAACTCGTCAGCTTGCACTAAAAATACAGTGTAAAAGTCCTTTGGTTTAGTTTTTTGTCTACTTTTATGTTATTCAGAAAGACTTCTTTTTTTCATGCATGTTGAAAAAGTTTCAAGAAGCCAGTTAGTTACTCTGCTTGAGTATATAACACCATGGATATGTGTAGATTTATCAATGTAATATTTAAAGGTACATTAGATAGAGGGAGAGTTGTGGATCTTCTTATGATCTGACATAGGACTAATTTCTGTGCTAATTTACATAGAAAATTGGGGAAAACTATGAACATAGTTAAAAGGTAATAAAATGGAAGATGACATTGCTATATATTCGACGTCGTATTAGATAAGTCGATTAGTTTCTGGCTGTTGCTGCCTCTGAGGGAACTAGGTGATGAACTGACTAAGGGCGAAAACATAGAGAACGCCGATTTCAGAGACTGACACAGTCAGTGCCGATGGGTATAAAAATCCCTTATGAATTCCAACTTACCCCATATAGAGCTGACAGACTGCAGGCAGCTTTAAGCTCCAATTGGCGCTGTCGGCTTTATTGGAATTCAAACTGCATTCTTATCGCACCGAAAACCTGGGAAGGGCGCCTCGCAGTCAACACTCAATGCCGTCTTACCGTTGCCAACGCAGGTTCTGCGGTTTGATTGATGTCACCCGACTGGACTGGTGACAATTTTAAATGGTCATTTCAGAGCTGATGCTTCACGAGTACAAAAACTCATTACATTTTTCAAAATCAGCATCGTCAAAATTAAGGGGGCTTCTGAGCAGAATTAAATTTTAAGCAATATTTTAGGAAATTCGTGGGGGTTTTTTGGGGTTTTTTTTTCCCTAAATAAATGCTTCATCAATACTAGCTATGTTGTGGTTTAATTTTTTTCTTAGATCTAGGCCTAACTGTGTGTCGGTTGAGTGTGTGAATTTGAAAAGCTGAGGCCTGTGTAGTTTTCCGTAGTGCGTCTACTAAGAGAACTACATAGATCTAGATTAGATCTATGCAAGCACGAGCTTAAAAGGAGCAGCAACAGACGCCCTTCTATGTGGAGTTAAGCAGACACGCGTGCTGGAGCCAGTCAGCGTTGATCTTCAGCCGCTGAAATTTCGGCGTTCTCTATGTTTTCACCCTCAGATTCTAAAAGGCATCTCAACCACATTTACCAGCTTTATCAATGTTATGTCTTTCCAGCCGGATTAATATCGTGCCTTCTTTATTAATGTGAAGAAGATTTAGGTCTAAGCGAGATTCTCTTTACCCCCTTCTATATTTCAGACTAACACTCCCCCCAGCATTGTTGAGGATGGAAGACAAGTTAGAGAATGTGGACACCTGGACCTGCGAAGATGTTGAGAAGTGGTTAAAGGCAAATGGCTTTATAGAGTATGCCACTAAATTTAGTCAAGGTCATAGGATAGATGGTCAAGGTTTACTCAGTTTGACAGAAAAGGATCTCAAGGATCCCCCAATGAGCATTCCTTATTTAGGTGATATTAAGCGTCTCAGTTTTAAAATACATGCCTTGCAGGCACAAAATATTAAGCCCTCAAAGCTGATTGCTAGGGAAGCAGTTCACTTGCTCCATGAGTCGAGCTGCAGAGAAAGAACGCAGCCTGTTAATCCTGGTTACGACAGACAGGGGACTCCATCAAGGCAAGATAGCACAGAGTCTGAGGGATTTGACAACTCCTTATTTCAAGGGACATCAGTACGCAGTAGGCACACATTCAGAAACTCAACATGTTCGCCTTCTCAGGACATTCCAATGGAACTGTGGAAGACGGTGCTCAGTTTCCTCTATATATTTGTTGTATTTTTGATAACAGCGTTTATCATGGTTGTAGTTCATGATCGTGTTCCCGAGATGGATAGGTACCCTCCTCTCCCTGATCTTTTCTTGGACAACATGCCGTATGTTCCCTGGGCATTTGAAGCCTGTGAGATGGTTGGACTCGTTCTGGCAATAATGTGGTTTGCTCTCCTCTTTTTTCACAAACACAGGTATGTTTTGCATTTAGTTTCTTAGTCTTTACAGATTTACTTTGTATGTAGGTTTACTTATGGACCAGTCTGGTAGTAGTGCTTCAATACTGTCTACACTTTTGGTTTTCATAGATATATTATAATCTATATATAATAATTTTGTGGGGGAAAAGTATTTAAAGCAGGGGTCAACGAACTATGCCCTGCGGGCCAAATGCTGCTCTTCACAGAGATTGTGTGCAGCCTGCCGAAACATTTGATGGATTTTTCTAAAAAATTGAAATAATAGATTTTCGCAAAGATCACTTTTGCAAAAGAAAGAAAGCAAAGACTATTTCATTATCATCTTAAAATTTACAGGAAAATTTACAGAGTTAATATTTTTTTAACCATTTGTATTTTCTAAATAAAAAAGTTACTGCTTTAGAGTATGTATGGTGGAATGACAACAGCGATAACCAAAAAAGGTTACTCTTTTCAAGTAAAATATTACTTTACAGTGGTACTCGATTTGCTTTTTACTGCGACTTTTCATGTCTAGATTTATGATTCAAGATACCTTGAAATCAGAATCCCTTGCCTAACAGGTACTTTAGTTAGTGACCATTAAGTTCTTTTTAACCTGCTGTCCTCCTTAAAGCTGTGGGGTTCCTCTTTTTTGTATTCTTATCATATAAAACCTCTGATTTGCACTTAATATCTGTTTTAATTTTACAAAATTGTTTTTATTTGTTGCCTTGCTGACCTACTAAAACCATATAAAATGAGCAAAATTGGTGATGGGGATTTGGTGGTCATGAAATTTATTTTCCAATGGATTTTTTTCTTTGATAAATGCATCACATGTAATAATACTTCTTTTTTGGCCACAGATTTATTCTTATGAGGCGTCTTTTTTCTCTGATGGGCACCATTTTTCTCCTGCGCTGTGTGACTATGTTGATCACATCTTTGTCAGTACCTGGAAAACATCTACAGTGTAGTGGCAGGGTAAGAAATAGTGAAGAAGAAATTATTTCTCTGTAACTTACTGGAGTCCCAAAGTGAGTAATTGGTAGCAGTTCTAGTGTGGCATGCTGATTTTGTGTTTTTCCAGCATTATTATTTTTTTTAAAAAAATTTCCCGATTATATTCCTAACATGACATGACCTGTGATCATTACAATGCTGAGAAGTGAACTGGCATTCAGAAACTTGACACCCACAGTTTTATGTTTTGTAAGAACCTCCATAAATTGGTGAATGAGAATGTTTCTGAAAGAATTGTACTTTCTCCCCTTACCAAGAGTATTCAGTTCTAGTTCTGATAACAATGATCTAGAGATGTGACAGTTTTCCCCTCCTATTTGGTAGTTGGTCCATAAATGTACCTCAGAAGTTAAATGGTCTCTACTCTTGTTGAATTAATTCTACTGCAAGTGCTGCAAAACTCTTTCAAAAACTGAACTGTTTACTTCGATAGATTTATATAGTTTGTTTCTTATGAATGCATACGTATACGTTATAGTATATATGGTGTACAGTAGTCTCCGCCTAAGATCCCGGTGCTCGGGAGCAAGGAAATACGGGATCTTAGGCGAACCGGGATCTTAACCGACGAACCCAGGGAAGAATCTAGCGTGACCCATGTTAAGGCTCACAATCGGTAAAATGGTCTCCCTGCACTGTAAAATGAACTGACGTGACCCCTTGGTGGGTTTATGACGTATGGCGAGCAAAGAGTGGTTAACGTTGATGACCTATCACAGTGCATAGTGGCATGCCATTTTCACTTATTATCCTATCATGAGTCTCAAGGTCTACGCTTATTCAATTGCCCCTCCCCTTTACCTGTCGAAAATTTATAGCTTTCCATCTCTGACCGAGTTCCCCCCAACCACCTTTGTCGTTACACACCATTAGATCTCTACGTTGTGAACGCATCAATTAAAATTCAGTCTGTCTCGCAAATTCGGGAGTAGAGACAACTTCTGCAATGGTCAGGGATGAGTTCACAATTCAATGTGATCCCGCCTGGAGCGAACGAGTAGGCCCTATCCACCCAGCGAGTGATGTAAGTTTAGGGGGACAGCTCAGGTGTGAGTGGGATGTTCGGGGAAAACAAACGGGTCGGTCAGTTCACACCCCGGTGTGATCCTGTCTGGGGCAAACATTGTATCGCTTCATCAAGTTTTACAACGTGTATGTGATCACATTCACGATAGTGGCAGATCTTTGACGCGACGGACAGTTTATTGATCTCAACTTTTCACTCTTGGTTGATCAGCTGTCCCGCCCGGATTATTGTTCCGCAAATTATGATCTGAAATGCGGGATCTTAGCCGAATGTAGACCTTCAGAGTGAATCAGAGCGGGATCTTAGGGGTGACTTTTATATAGTAAAAATTCTGTTTTCTTAAAACAGCGGGATCTTAAGCGAACCGGGATCGTAAGCGGTGGGATCTTAGGCGGAGACTACTGTATTGTCGTCTGGTTTTGTCCTCCTGTGTTCCATCCTTTATTTCAACTAACACTTAACACAGTCACTGGTGCTTTTATAGCCATTTTTGTGTTTAAAGTAAGTTTGCAATCCAACAAAACATGTTTTATTCCATATATGTGCCTGGAAGCTGATATTTGTTCATTTCTTCTCCACAGAGGTATGGAGATTTCTATTCCCGATTGGAGAGAGCAATTGAGATCTGGCAGGGGTTTGGAATGTCTTTGCAAGGTGTGAGGACTTGTGGAGATTACATGTTCAGTGGCCATACCTCCATCATCACACTCCTCAATTTCTTTATCACTGAATGTAAGTGTTTTAGAATATTTCTTGTAAGGTCGTGAATACTTGGAGATGATTGTGTGTTGCATTTGGATATCATGGGTGCCAGGGTGTCACAAAGAGTTGACTTAAATGTCAGAAAGTTTTGCTTTAGGTATTGACTATTATGTTGAGAATATTTAATCTGTGGAATAGTGTTTGGTTTTACAGTGGAGTCCACTTATAACGTGTCCTGACATAACGAGAAGTCTGTTACAAAGACACTGTTCTAAAACCGCGATTTTTTTTTTCCTTCTTTATCTTTGTAAATAAAATACTGCTATAGCGCTATCAGACAAACACGCGAGTCGGTTATAGTGGAATATTGCTGCTGCTGTGCACAGTGCATACGTGTGTAAAACCTCACCAGTTGAGAAACATGTTGGTGATCTAGCGAAACAAAGAATAGGAGAGCCCGCGTGTGCCAACAGTGAAGGCCGGGGCGAATGAGTGAGGAGTGTGTTGCATGCGCAGACAAGCAGAACGCATAGCGTGATAGGCCAGCCCATTCTCCTAGGCCTACCATGCCTCTCATTTCTCCAATGATGGATGAAGCGAATGTGTGGCGTGGGCAGGGTGTGATGTGTACCCAATGTGCGCAAGCAGACGGAACACACCATAGGGTGTGGTTGAGAAGGGGGGGGGGGTACAACACAGCGGGCGATTTAACCTAGAGCCCTTTCTTTCTGATCGCCAAAACCAAGCTGTCAACATCGCTAGCGCTAGAGAAAGAAACCTGATTTGATGTTTGATCAAGTACATAATACCTACAGGTTATGCTGAACAAAATCATAATCAGGGGAGATAACAAAAAAAATAACATAACACCAAACTCATAGATTAGGCCTACTTTATTATGTCCCTAGATTTTATTACTGGATCCTTTATAATGAGAATCCTGCTATAACAGACATTTCGCACCGCCCACCCCTCGTTATAACAGGATTCCACTGTATTTAATTTTCTCCCTCTTACAAGCAATTTGATTTGTAAGAGACAGCTCTTTCAAGTTGTTAGTTCCCTTTGGTGTGATTGGTAATGATCATTATTGTGATCATGTAAGTTGTGATCCCCATTCAAATCAAAGCACTTAATTAAGCTTCCCAGAAAGTTAGGGAAGTTTGAATTGCAATACTTCAAAGGCAAATCCCCCACTTTATTTGAAGGCTGAGGTTGAAAAACCTAATTAATGACACACTTTGTTCAAGTGTTAAACATGTGAATAGCTAGTTTGTGCTCATTATATGGATTTGGTTTGAGGAAACACCACTGTCCTCTTAATACCCCCCCCCCCCCCCCCCAGGGCAGTGCTACTGACTGAAGTGTCTTTAGGCCATTCCCAAAGGGGGGATGTTAAAATGTTCTTGTGCACAGTAGAATTGTAAATGGGCTGATTTATCAATGCCATGCTCATCATACTGTGCCGGAGCAACTTAGGGGGAACTGCTGCTTTTTCTTTCCTCATCCTATCGTCATTTTCCCTCTACTTCTTTTGTATGTTTATCACTCTCTTGTAAACTGCTATTTCCGGGGTGCCTTGATAGTCGAAGCAGACTTTGTGCTGTTGAAGCTAGAGAGGTGAGCAGAGTAAGCCCGATTCCCCGTTTGGACTTCTCTGTTGACATCCACCTCTTTGGGCTTATATAACCTTATCATTTATGTAGTTGCAAACGCCGTAAAACCTTACTAACACCCCCTGGGGCGGTGCTACTAACTGAAGTGTCTTTTGCCTAGCAGATTTGTAATTGTATATGGGCTTATTCATCAATGTCATTCTCATAACTGCCTGAACTGCAACAGGGAACTGCGGCTGTTTCTTTCCTAATCCTTACTATTGTCATTTTACCTCTACTTCTTTTGTATGTTTGACACTCTCTTGAGACCCGCTATTTCCGGGTTGCTTTGTTAGTTGAAGCAGACTTTGTGCTGTTGAAGCTTGAGAGGTGAGCAGAGTAAGTCTGATTCCCTGTGTAGACTTCTCTGTTGACATTTACCCCTTGGCGCTCATATGACCTTATGCAGTTGCGAGCGCCGTAAAACCTCTGCTTAAACAAAAACCTTTCTAAAGCTAAAACAGTCCTCTTAGTGCGGACGTAATGAGAGCCACGGTGGCACTATATTCTGTAATATATGGGCCGGAAGAAACATTTCATCTGAGAATTTTTGTCTCTTGATGAAGCTACTGATTAGACTTTTTAATGATTTTATAAAAGCCTCTGTAATTTCTGGTAATATCTTTTTTTTCAGGTTGTAACATGTTTTAATATTTTGATATTTATTTTCAATTTTTTTATTCTCCTTCAGACACCCCAAGGAAGTATTACTTTGTGCACATCATTTCATGGTGTCTCAACTTCTTTGGGATATTTTTCTTGCTGGCAGCTCACGAGCATTACTCCATCGATGTGTTTATGGCATTCTACCTTTCCTCCCGCCTCTTCATGTACTACCATACCTTGGCTAACAACAGGGCCTTGATGCAACCCGATGCTAGACGAACTCGCATTTGGTTTCCACTTTTCGCATTCTTTGAATCAAAGTGTCAAGGACGAGTGCCAAATCAATTTGAATGGCCTCTTGTTTATTTTGCACCATGCATGAAGCAGATAGGCTTTTGGATCAAATGTATGTTCAGCAAAGTTGGTCGTAAACCTGAGGAAAAAGAAGCGGTCAAGACAGAATGATTACTACTCATATTTTTGTGTGAAAGTTGGAAAGAAAGTACATGAGAGTCCTCTTATACCGAGCATGGCTAATCCGAAAACAACTAATCCGAATGAAAAGAAAAGAAGATGGTCCTGCAGATTTGGGTTTAAGCTTTCTCTCCACTGTACAAAGAAATGAACGTTAGGTATTTTTAGGTGAATGCAGTACATTAGCTTTTTAAAAACTTCTTTTATTATACAGTAGTCTCCGCCTAAGATCCCACCACTTACGATCCCGGTTCGCTTAAGATCCCGCTGTTTTCAGAAAACAGAATTTTTACTATACAAAAGTCACCCTCAAGATCCTGCTCTGATTCACTCTGAAGGTCTACATTCGGCTAAGATCCCGCATTTCAGATCATAATTTGTGGAAAAAAAACCCGGGCGGGCATAGCCGATCAAACAAGAGTGAAAAGTTGAGATCAATAAACTGTCCGTCGCGTCAAAGATCAGCCACTATCGTGAATGTGATCACATACACGTAAAACTGGATGAAGCGATACAATGTTTGCCCCCGTCGGGATCACACCAGGGTGTGAACTGACCGACGCGTTTGTTATCCACAAGCATCGCACTCACACCTGAGCTCTCCCCCTAAACTTGCATCACTCGCTGGGTGGATAGGGCCTACACGTTCGTTCCAGGCGGGATCACATCGAACCGTGAACTCCCTTACCATTGCAGTAGGCGTTGATTGCAGCAGTTGTTTCTATGCCCGAATGTGCTAGACAGACTGAATTTTAATTGGTGTGTTCCCGACGTAATGGTGTGTTACGACAAAGGCATTTGGGGAGGAGGGGGGGGAACTCGGTCAGAGATGGAAAGGTATAAATTTTCGACAGGTAAAAGGCAGGGGCAGCTGAATAAGCATAGATCTTGAGACTCATGATAGGATGATAAGTGAAAATGGCACGCCTCATGGCACTATGCACTGTGATAAGCCATCAAGGTTAACCACTCTTAGCTCGCCATATGTCATAAACCCACCAAGGGGTCACGTCAGTTCATTTTAGGGTGGAAGGAGACCATTTTACCGATTGTAAGCCTTAACATGAGTCCCCATAGATTCTTCCCTGGGATCGTCGGTTAACATCCCGGTTCGCCTAAGATCCCGCATTTCCTTGCTCCCGAGCACCGGGATCTTAGGTGGAGACTACTGTAATCATATTTTGGGCAAGCATATTTTTTTTGTTGCTACTCACACATGATATGTGCAAGTTGTTTTTACAAATGTTCTTTCACACTGCAATACTCTTTTGTAACATGACACGATGGAATCAGGGGCTTGTCAAATTTTGGGCATATGGAGTTATTGTTATCATCTTAAAGCCTGTTTATTTACCTTGCTTTTTGTGGAAAATATATCCATGTTAAATAGAAGTCTAAATATTTGCTATTGAAGGAGGTCTGGGTTACCTGGTTTCAAAGGTACAATTAGTGAGGAAATGTCCCCAAAGTTTAGTTATTTCCTTCGCTTGAGAGCCGGTGGAAATTGAAAATTTACATCTTTTTTTGCATTTAATCAATGTTTTTCAGTAAAATCCACACTTAAATGTGCTTTTAATGGGCATAAAAGGTGTTGAGCCAAAAAATAAAAATTTGAAAAGAATTTTTCCAAACTTTCGGAAAACTGCCAGTTTCTTCACTTTCATTATTTTGACGAGTGCCTGATTTCACCACGCTGACTCACATTTTATCACATTGAAAGAGGAAAGAGGGTTGGGGAGGGGTTTGTTGGGGGTTGATGGATTGAATTACTATATATTGTAAAACATCACAGAAATGTTGATCCTTACGTATTCTTTGTTTATTCGACTCCGCAAGACATTGTAGAGGAAAGTGTGATCATGATATCAAACTGTGATGATATGCCACAAAAACATTGGCTAATAATTGTGTTTACATGCAGAATGGAATTAACTGTAGCTTACCCCACTCATGCATCTCTGTCTGGTATGCCACATGTTTTATCAGTCACTCACTCTGCTTGAATATGTAAAAACAATTGGTACTGTTTTAAAGGTTTTGAGAAATATTCGCTAGCATTGTAGACCTACTTATGTTTCAAGAAAATATTTCAATTTGTCGCTTGTCTTTGGAATTCAATTTGTCACTCCCTGGACTGATCTAAAATTTGTTTACTGAGAAATTGTCATAAAGTGATAAGGCATGGATGGCTGACTCCTTTTTTTTTCTACTTCATTTTTTTTAAAATATCGTGATACGGTATTGTGATAATGTTCTTGAGCCCTTCGTACAACTCGTTGCAGACACGAATTCTGGTCATCTCTACATATTATATTTGTGAAAGTTCGTCACTTTGGCCGCCGAAAACTTAACTTTCAAATTTGAAAAAATTAATGATGGTTCAGAATCAGTTAAAGTGTGCACAGTTTTATTGAAGAGCCTGAAGTCACTAGTTTAATTTTCAGTTTTTCGTTAGTTTTGTTTAGATCTACATCTAAATCTAATCTTGGGAAAGTCGATCTTCTGAGGCGCCATTTATTATATATTTGGCATCTTGAAATCACATATGTCACTTTTCCCCATAAAACTACGACAGCTACAGAGTTGAAAGTTGGCAAGTACCTTCAAAAAGATAGATAAAGCCCCATGACGGAGCCCGATTTTTTATTTATTAATTTTCTGAATTTAGAAAAATATATTTGACAAAAAGTTCCTGTCCTTCTTTGGCTTTTGTTATTATTCCATTGAGAAACGAAACAAATCTGCGAATTTTGTCCTTCTCAGCGAAAGTGCCGGAAGTGATATTTCGCGAGGCGCATTTTGTTTTGAGAGTAAACGGTCTAGACCTAATTTTTTGCATCTCTCAAGATTTATTGCTCCATTCCAGTAGAGTGTAAATATTGTAGGCCAATGACTTTCAGTTGATGTTAATGCACTGATCATTTCATCGAAAGGGGGCCCAGCTAGTTCAACAATAATTGAAGATGTCTTATTTTGGGGCACTTGATAAAAAGTTGCATAACTTCGTTATTCACAACAAATTTTAAATTCTTAATCCAAAACTTTAAAAAGCAGACAACAGCATGCATTCTATGAAATATGCAAGTTCGTATTTCTAATTTGTGTATATAGGTGCAAAAAATGACTTAACATTGGTTTTGGTCTGCTGCTGATAAGAAATATTACATGTTTGCTATGCTCTTAAAGAGTTGTGCATATTTGAAAATATTACATTCATTTATGTACTTTAAACTTTATTTTTGTTATGGCTAACACATAGTGGGATTTTTTTAAAAACGTGTTAAAAAGAATGTTATTGAATCCTTTCACTCATTTACTCTGTTTTTAGAATTTAAAAATGAATTTCTCATTAAGGCCGATATTTGTTCTCAGTATAAAGATATGTATGCTTGAGAGAATAGAATGAATTGCAGTAGTAAAAGTCCATGAGAAAACGTTAAATGGTTACATTCTGAGGATGAGTTTAGAAATATTTATGCTGAAATTATAGGAGTTCATTTATCGAAAACTAGACTGTAACATCTGTTGATATATGTACATCACATTTTATTCCTTGAAGATACTGTCACTAATTTTACCCACTGTATTGTTTTACCCTGGACTTCATCTCAAAAGAAGATTTCAGCTAGGTAAGTAACCTGTGTTAGGGATAGAAATGCTTGGCGGTGTGTTGTTTCAACCAGCGCAATGGACAGAAATGTCTTTTGCTGCATTGTTTCCGGGTTTCTGTTAGCTCAGGCACTCTTCAATTCTAGATAGCTTGGTACCTTGCGCATCAAGTAAGGAGCTTATCAAAGGAAATAAAAGATAATCTGGATATTGTCCTTTCAAATCATGAATGGAGAAAGTTATAATATTATATAGAAATTAAAGTTGGAGAGAGTACTGTGAGTAAATTTTCCCATTTAAACTGCTCCAGTGTCTTTTCTGATTTATGCAAGTACAGTTACTAAGCAGTTGAGCTTTGTTTGATCTTATGGCACTGGTACATGTTCCATATTCAGATGGTATTTTCTGTTCAAACTGGTTTGCTCTCTTTTCAAAAAGTTTAATTTGCAAGCATATTGCAATGAATTTGTGTAGTAGTTGACATAATTAGATTTAGTTTTATGTGTGAGTGCTGTTTGAGTACAACGTCCACACCATATTATGTGTGAAATAATGATTAACCCATTACTTTTTGACTCAAAGTATGTCTCAGGGTACGGAAGGCATTCATATCTCAATGTTTGCAACATTTGTTATATTTTATTTGCTCTCCTGGAGTAATAATCATATCCTGTTGTACCACCTTGTCTTTCCACGTTGCACCAGCCTTCTGGTCTCTTGTGCTGTTACTTTGTTCTTTTCCACTGCTGATGAACAAATACTGTCTGTTGGCGTAAGCGTTGCATGTTTTCAGCAATAGTAATAGTGTACTGAGGTCTATTTGTCCTCTCCTTCTTGCCTCCTTTTACAGTAGCAAAATGTAGTAAATCTCAAAGTGAAAAAGTTTTAAATTTGTGAGGTGTGCTGCCGAAATGAGTTACTTCTCGGATTTTAGCCTTATGGAAATTGATACATCAACTTTATTGGTGGAGTTTGTACAATTTATAAGTATGGAATAATAAAAGACACAATAAACTGGAAGAAAATGGCATCAATGGAAAATCTATAAATCGGGACCCCAGAGTCGATTTTCGGCCAATATCTCCATTCTTGGATTGCGAGAAGTAACTCATTTTGTCTTCATGCCTCACATTTGTGAACATGTAGGCAGTTTGTTAAGTGTTTGGTGTGTTGTACCAATGATATATCATATCGGTTTGTATGGAAAAATTCCCTCCATGGATGAATTTTGGTTGAGTTTTGTGTATGGCTATTTTTTGTGTCTGTGCAATAGTATAATAGTGCTCTTGCCTTAGCCATTACAAAGATGATGTGTAACTTTTTCCTACTCTTTCGTTGCTCGTGTAATTTGAAACGGTGTGGAGCAGACTGAATCACTGTTGAATGTGTCACATGTCACATATATATGCAAAAGCAATATTTTTCTATTTTTATTTTGATGATTTTGTATAGTATTAGTATAGCTTTCTCCCCTTTTGCACGCCTG